GTGATAAAAAGTCTACGAGAAAAAAATATGGCAAAAGACATGACAAGGCAAGGTTAAAGTTACACGTATATACACACGCATATACATACACATAATATATAGTCGTGTAAGACAATGACATTTGTCGTATAATATCCGTGATATAGCGGCCATGATACATCTACCCGAAAAATATCCTCTCCGATTCGTTAGTGTCGGCGGACCATAAATTTCACGGACGGAATAAATTGTGCACAATACGCACGAGAGGTTCGCGAGCTTTTAAAAGCGCGTATAACGCGCACCCGTCCGCACGATGACTGTCCTCTTGCTGTTTAAGCGGAAACGCTCATCGATAATCAACGAGAAGAGAGAGAGAGAGAGAGAGAGAGAGAGAGAGAGAGAGAGAGAGAGAGAGCACGAACGAAATCCGCTTTAGCGCCGCGATGAGCAGATTGTTAACTGCAAATGTGGAAACCGATTATTAAACGACGGACAGAAGTCGCCATCGCCGCCGCCACGTTTAATCGGATTATAACAAAAACGCGATGCAATTAATGCGCCGGCCTCGTCGTTAGCGGTTTGCGCACATCGCGGGACCCTAATCGTTAAGTACGTTAACCGAGATAACGTCCGTCTCGTCGAACCAGTTTTACATTAATGGTAATAACGGTGCAATTGCAGTATATAGGACGGGAGATATTTTCGTTTAAGGGATTTTGATAAATAGATAGGTAGATAAAGCGTTTATTATAGCTCTGGAGCAAGCCCTCTAAGAAAAATTCCAAATTATAAAATAAAGAAACAAGAAAGAAACAAAATAAAGAAATAATAAACGTAACATAAGAAATAAGGATAATGAACAAATGTAAAAAATAAATGCGATAAGAAAAGTAATAATCAAATGTAAAACTCAAAAAACAGAAAGATTAAAAAGAGAAATGAGAGAGAGAAGGCAAATCATTCTATATTTTCGTGAAATATCAATCTTCCAGCGCACGATGTCCCCCATGTGAGGAGACAGGATAATTCAAGGATACCCTTATATCAATTTTGCAAAAAGTCTTGCTACACGAAATTCGAATGGGCGAGAGACGAATGAAAGATTGTCGGCAAATTTTTTTTGCCATCCCCGAAACGTCTTTCACCTTATTCTATTTTATAAAGTATAAACAAAGAAATTCCTTAGCTTAGAGAGGAGAATACGAATTTCTGTTCTAATATTGGACCGTAAGCGACTAGCACAATCGGTATTCGATCAAGGCTGACCTCGGTAGCTGGTTCCGCGTTATGTCACTTGTGTATCCGTATCTCGGCGTTAATTACTCTTCGGCATGTTGTCGGCAATGTTAATTCGTGCTTGCTTAGCGACAATCCTTGTCGCCGCGAACCTCCGTGAATATCCGTTTAGTTCACTTTGTGTCGACCGAAAGGACGAGGAGGTGGAGGAGGAGGACAGTTCCTGCTGTGTCTCGGCTTAGCGGACTGGAACACGCGTATCGCCCCTTGAAGCGATCTCCATTCTCAGACGCATTCCCAAGTGCGGAGTTTACGAACTTGCTTGCAGGTGTAAGCATCCGTGCGATTGTCTCGGTAGTTCCATTAAAGTTAGTTATTAACTCACGGTAAAAGGATATTTGCGAAATTAGGACTTACGTTTAGGCAACGGAGTGACGAAGGGCGACTAACGCGCGCTGTATCGCGTAACAGTGCCAGACGTTTAATTACCGATCTCATACCGTATAGATAATGCGCAACGATGTTAATACGAATCTACCTTCTGGCACGGGGTATCGACAAGTACACCCGCATCGATCTGCCCCGATGACGTACATACGCGATTTAAATAATTAGATTGCGATTACATTGCGCGCATTGGGTACACCCTATATAAGCGCGGCTTCTGTGAAAATTCAGTTGGTTCACGTGGCACGTGACGCACCGGTAAAAGCCGAGTCAATAGAATAGCACGGTAACATCGTCGGGGTCACTGTTGGCCAAGCCAAAATTACGTTCTTGCTTTGCTCATGCTGTACTCCACGGTATCCGCATGGCGAATAATTAAACGCGCAGAGAAAGAGAGGGAGAGGAAGAGAGAGAGAGGGGGGGGGGCGGGGAAGGGCGGGGAGACCAAACCAAGTCGATACATTTGGGGATTGTCTGAAATATTTAGACTGGTTTGCGGCAGTGCGCCAGTGCCATCCGTTGCTGAAATTACTACTTGCTGGAATCCCAAGACATTTTTCGACGAAAAATAGGACACACGGATTATACGAGAATTTGAGAAGCGAGAGATCAAAGAGATGCGAAAATCGTAAGCGATCGAAGATACAAATATCATAAATTGTTCGCGAATTAAAATTGTAAACTTTTACCCCGGGGGATATATGTATTTGTATTGCATTTGCGAAATTTGTTAGATTCCACACAGAATACGCTAAAACTGAATCGATAATGTTTCTTCACTGTGTCTCCTGAAGATATTTTCTTTTCTTGTTTGCGAAGCATCATTTATTTATAACGCCACGATGCCTCGCGCGCTCGTCCTGTTTGCTCTCTTCGTGGAAAACATTAGAAGTAAGAAAGAAAAAAGGAGAATAAAAATGTGTTGAGGGGGTGCTCTATAGCACCGCCGCGCGCGGCGTGGCGGGAAGGGAAAAACAGGACTAGAGAATAAAGTTCAGTTTCTTCCTGTTCTTTTGTGCGAGTCTCGAGTAGGTTTCTTCCCACGCATTCCTCCTCGCCACTCGACTTCTATAAAGCGCGCAGACGAGCGGCTCGAATTATCTCATTTTCCGTAGGAGTCGTTAAATCCGCGCGTAACACGGCGCGAAGATCGGCGATATTACGAGATCGAGCTAATTGCAGATTCTTAATTAACATTTGTAGATTCTTTGCGATTACTTACGTGCAGGCAGTGTTCTCTCCGCCGTATTTTTCCCTCGGGATTTCACGAGGATTGGAGATTGCGTATAATCATAAGATTGACAATCCTCGAGTATATCTGCGCATTTACGCAGAACATTGTCGATCTTTTTGTTGCAAAAAATCAACGGAACGTTGCTCATCCGATATTTTCGCCGTTCGGTTCGCCGGCGTTCAGGGGGGCTGCGGACCCATTCGCCGAACTCCATCTTCTTTATTTATCCTTTAGTCGATTATTCCGCCTCTTCCCGTCCCGTTATATTAATACGATCTCAATTTAATTATCGTCGTAGGTATATCTATCCCACGTTCTCCCCCGTCAGCTTGCCGCCTCATATTTCGCTGCTTTACGCGCGCGACGTTGTCCCAGTTTCTGGGCCGACCTGGTATTAACGCGAGATATATCGTCGCGTGTTGAACAAAAAGCGCCGTCGATGTTATTCGTCGGTGTCTGCCTTTGTTCCGCGATAATATTTTATGTAAACGCTGAGACTCTCGCGCGCGGGTGCACATTCTCTCTCTCTCTCTCTCTCTCTTTCTCCCTCCCTCCTCTCCTCTCCCTCTCTTTTCTCTATAAAAGCGGACGTTTTATCTCTCTACCGCGTTAAAAAAAATTTTTTTAAACAGTATGAAAATAGTCGATCGCGGCGCACTGGTTATACCGATGTAGATATTTGAAGAGAATCACGCAAAATTTTATTCAATAACGTATCCCGTGGATACTCAGTTTCTATCATAGCGATGCTCAAATATCATATCCGCCGGGCTTCCATCATCAATCAATTCCTCATTGGTGGATCCCGTCGTGCTTTTCGAGCGCAGTGTAAAGCTGAAATGTAGATCATTTTTTTAATATTTTTTTTACTTGATTACCACAACGGACGACTGCGCAGCGCGGAGCATAGTTCTAGAACAACTTTATTGGTGTGCATCCCTGCAGCGAACGGTATCGGAAAATGTTGCGAAAGCTGCGCCGTAACGTACTGCTGCGAGCGGTGAATAATAAAAATAGTTGATAGTCATAAGCTATGATGTTATGCCGGCGCGACGCGGCACCCAGTATTCAGTCCCGCGATCCGATAGTTTTCGCCGGATGGCGGAAAACTAAGTTCCACGCGGGTCGCAGCGTTTTTACTTCAGTTCTTCATTTATCGCGTCGTGTGTACAAACAGTTTACCCCGCTGCCCAACGTGTCGCACTTTCCTTCCGTTACGTTTTGCCACGTTACGGCCATTTTTTTAAAGCATCTTAAAAATTCTCTCGTCGCTCCGTCTTGGCTCCTCGTGCCCGTCTATTGTCTGCCGGAGAGAGCCTCAAGTTCGGAAAATTTTACAAACACTTCAAAATAACGTTGTGGTCTACAGATAAAAAGCACAAAAGGACAAAAGCGTTTTGGGAAGTAGAACGAAAGAAGAGAGAGAGAGAGAGAGAGAAAAGTAAACGTACTTTGGCATCTCTATATCTCGAGTATCTTTATTGCTATATTTTTGTGTTTTCTTACAAGCATCGCGTCAGCAAATTTCTATGCGATAATTGCACGCATATATAAACTTTTATCTTTTTTTTTAAGAACGTTTTTTTTTTTTTTTTTTTTTGAAACAATGTAAAACAATATTCGAAACGAGCGACGAGTACTCGTCGTCAAAGTAACTCCTACGTCACTCCAGGCTCTGGTCGCTAATAGTTCTCGGTTTCGAGAACTTGAAGTTTCTCAACGTTTCCCGCCTCGTCCCGTATCCTCCGCGACACGGGAGCGTAATTTCACTTTGAAACGTTCGCAAACAAGTTTACCGACTCTCAAGGGTCGCTAATGTCTATATATTCGACGCAAGATGCGCTTTAATCGCGCTATATTAATCGCTCGCCGGGTAATTACGTCTCCGTTTTTTTGAACGGCGCTTTTATCTCGCGTAATTCAATGCGTCCCGAAAGAGTATTGCATGCGCGGCGTTACGTAATTCGCGGCACAGAAAACTTTCTGCTAATTAGTTCTTCCCTAGTTTTCCCTTCGAGGGAGGGAGGCCTCCCTCCCCCCCTCCCCTCCTCTCTCCCCGTCTTGCCACATCTAATTTGGACATCTGTACTTTTGGTTTCAGTATGCGGCGACATTCACGGACAGTTCTACGACCTGATGAAATTATTCGAGGTGGGCGGACCACCCTCCTCGACCAAGTATCTCTTCCTCGGCGATTATGTGGACAGGGGTTATTTCAGTATCGAGGTGAGTACACGTGAAAAGAAGTGTTGTAGGAAATCGTCGTCGCGCGGCCGCCGTTTCTAATCGCTAAATTCCCGGGGCACAGATATTACATAACTATGTAATTAAAAGTTTGAAGCAATTAAGGGTTAATTACATTTATACATATGTCTGCGTAGTTTGATTATATAAACAGCACATACAAACGTAAGTGAACATTTATGCCTTTATTCTGATGGGGAGGGGGAGCTTCATCTCGGGAATTACGCGAGAGCACTCAATCATCGGATTTTGTAATTAGTGCATATCCTAATTAATTAGTTATTAAATCGTCGGCTCGTTCACCCAGCTTTCGCTTATCCAGCTTAGCGAAAGTGCAAAATCGTTAATTCTCTGAGTGGCTTGCTTTGATACTGCCCGATTGTCGTAAATATCCCGACACATTCGCAAAGATTAAAGATTTTATTAAAATTGCAAATCAGCAATCTACAAACTTTCGGGAAAATCTCCGACACGCCTGGAAAAAAAAAATTAGCGAATGATCAATTACAAATATATTGTATTGGATATATATTATATTAATCGATAGTTTATCTCGCGATAATAATTCATTTATATTCTCAAGAGCTACAAAAGTATAATTACTTGTTCATGTCGACAAATGCGATACGAAGAAGAAATTGTACTTTTGTAACTCTTAAGAATATAGATGAATTATTATCGCGAGATAAACTATCGATTGCCCAGGAAAGCAATGTTCTGCTCGCATCTCATTTTTAAAGCGATTTGTTTTTTGTCTAAGGCCCCTTTATTTAAATGTAACGGCTATAGGGATCTCCGTTGGGATAGACGCGCCTTAGATTTTCTCGTATGGAGAGCCTCTGTTTTGAGTATAGCGAACGCGATAGTCAAGAGAGAAATACCCGCGCGCACGTGTGTGCACGTACGGTGCATTTGTTACCCAGAAGTATTGCGCTCGTTCTCCCCCGAATGTAATTTCGAAGCATGCGCGAATAATCAACTTTGATCCAACACGAGTAGTCTATTTTGCGAGATCAAATTTCGTCACGGGCGAGTACGCTTCATGTCGAGCATAATGCAATATTTCGTCACGCTATAAGAAAATGCGCGCGCGCAAGAGAGAGAGAGCGAGAGAGAGAGAGAGAGAGAGAGAGAGAGAAACTCTGAAGTAGCGAGAGCAGCATCTCGAGTGGCACTCCCTCGCTCTCTCTCTCCCTCTTTCTCGCTTCTTTCTCGTGTCCCGAAGAAATTTTTACGCTGTAAAGTAACGAACAATTTCCTTTCGCGAATTCCGGAATGCAGGGGAGAAGCTACAAAGTTTTAGCGCGCGATCGTCCTAAACCGCGCGATACACGAAATGCAATTTCGCTGCGACGACGCGTAGATATCGCTCTCGAACAGGATGCAATTTCAGGACTCTATTTTTGGAGGAGGGTATCGACGGTATTACAAGTTCAACATTGATCGTGGAAGCTCTTGAGTATTTTGAAGACTCTTGCGTCTCTCGCCCCCTCGGCGATTTCTTCGTCTTTTTTAATTTATTCTCGAAATAAGAAACACACAGTTCCAAGTTCATTTTTATTTGCAATCTTTTTCATCCATTGATTTATGTTACGTTTAAAAGAAACACGGCGAACACCGACATTCGCGAGATATAATTTCTAACTTGTAACGAAAAAGCCACGGGGATTTTACGCAGCAATCTCTTTACCGGCGCAGAAATTTACGGAAGAAATAGGGGACAATCCAATATTGTACGTGGTATTACACGTGGCGCGCGCTGCGTACCCAAGATTTAAATATATTCTCCGCGAAGTACATTTCACAAGACAGCACGCGGGCAAGATGGCTCCTTTTAAGAAAATCTCTTGATATATTCCGCGGCTGCCGTTATTCAGATCGGGATGCGTCTTCGCCGGATTCTCTGAATAATGCAAGGCGCAGCGTGTCGTCGTGTGAGGCGCGCGCGCGCCCGCGCGCGCGGACGGCGTCAGATTTATGACGCACGCGAGCGAATGTCCAAAGTCGTACGCGAATTGCCGTTTCCAATCAAACTGATGGACCGAACTTAATGGAATCTTGTAAAATCGATACATATCCCGCGCGAATGAGACATAAAGTAATACCGCGGTAACGTTCCTTTGAGTTGCTACTTCGAGTATAGCAACTTCCTTGGAAATCCTCACTTTTATAAATATTATATACCGTATACTGTTTCTATATAACGTTAATTAATTACCGCTCCATGTTGTATTTTCCTTTCTTTCTTCGTTTAAACTTCATTCTCGACGTTAAAGAAAACATTTTTTTTGCCCGATCGTTATAAACACGCGCGGTTATACAAGATTTTTTCTCCGCTCGTGGAAAATAACGCGAGATTTCTCGATGGTGCGTCGGCGATGCAGCTTTCTTTCTCGCAGGATAATCTTGCTGTGCTTTGCGCACGAGCAAATGCGGATTCGATCGTATTTACGACTGTGCTACATGGGGAGCACCGATCTATTCACGAGAGACATGAGAGATGGAGTGCAGTGCTCTGTCCTCCCTCTCCCCCCCCTCTCTCTCTCTTTCTCTCTCTCTCTTCTCTCCTTATTTTACGGCACGGTATTCGAGAGTAGGGAGTATCTCACGGAGAAAATGGACCGCCTTCGCCGGTTGGTAAATGGTATTATAAATCGGTCGGAGCCGCGTGCGCTCCGGTATGAAAGGGCTTTCTGTCGCGCGGGTGCTCGCAAACTCCGGAGAAAGGATGCTCAATTCTTCGAGAATGCTCTGTTCGATGGTTCGCGCTCGGCGGGAGAGAGGATTCGTCTCCGCGTTTTAAGAGGGGTACGTCATCCCGAGCATCGGGTAACGTAATCGCGCGCGACGCGAACACCCGCGCGATACACCTGTGTACACGTACATATTCCTGTGTACGTATACACGCGTGTTTGTGCACGGTACACACGTGATAGTGATACGTTAAATCTCCGTGAGATCGATGGTATGCCCGCGATCCCGATGGCTTCTTCCCGGTGGCAGCATCCGCAAGCCTTCTCTCTCTCTCTCTCTCTCTCTCTCTCTCTCTCTCTCTCTCTCTCTCTCTCTGCGACGACACGTTCGACGGAAACCTTTGCTTCTGATCATCCCAAGAGATGCCGAAGAACGGATACAAAGGTAGAATCCGAGCTTAAAGAGAAGACACGAATACGCTCACCGAGAGAGCGGGTTCCGTCCTTCGTGATCGTTCGTTTGAAAATCTTATTCCGTGTATATTCTCGAAATCATGTAACGTATCACATGCGCGCTGCAGAGAGGAAGTTCCCTTCAAATTATCTCGAGTAATTTCTCGCGCTTGTGAGGAGACGCGGTTGTACAGTTTAGAGGATTCGGATACGATATATAGTTGGTAAACTGGTAGAATATTATTAGATTCGGCAATTAAATTCGTTTTTCTATATTTATTTTATATTCTCTCCTTTTATTAAAATACCATTTTCTACTAGATTCCATACATCTTGTTTTGATAGCGTATAAACGATATATAGACGTTTTCGATAGCTGTTCATTTAGCAGGGCGTCTCTTTATTGCATCGAGAGTCTCAAGTGATATTGAAGAAGCAAGGGATCGATATCAAAATTCTTATTGAAAGGATCCTTGAAAGAATGGATCCGAGAAATTATGAAAACATTGAAAAATTGTTTACGAAGATAAAGCAGCGTGTTTCGAAGATAGTACAAATATCTTTGTTAAGTTGGAAAAAGAGTTTCAATCGGCATCTTGACTGGTATTTCAATTGAAGAGTTTTGAGAATACTTCTCTAAAACAGCGGGAACGTCGTTGAAATATAAACGCAAAAGGATTCCCCGTCTTGAGGAGGATATATTATATATTAATTTGAACGAATGAACCGTTCAAGTTTGAGTTTGCAAACACAGAAAGAATTCTAGTCTCATCTATGCGAACTTGATTGTCGCGCGCGCGATCGTCGCGTAGGGAGATGAGGCGAACGAAGATATCCGATGCGGAGAGGAGCGCGCGCGGCGCTCTCCGCTCGCGTGCGAACCGCGGGGCAGCACCTGAAGGACGAGCGCGCGTTATTTCGTTACAATGCCAATGAGGGCCCTCGCGTGTAATTATAGCGGCCGGGGCAAGGCGAGAGTGAGCAGCCGCTCCGTTGACTTTGCAAAGGGACGGTGGAGGAAGAGAGAAGGGCCGGTGGGACGGCGCGAGGGGGAGGACGACGGTAGACAGTCGATCGGGTCAGCGGGGAGAAAATAATTGACCTCGAAAGTCTAAGAAAAAAAATTGCCGGCGCCCTGGCTTTTACGGGTAGACGCGCGGGTGCGCGAGGATTTCTCTCTCTCCCTCTTTCTCTCTCTCTCTCTCTCTCTCTCTTTCTCTCGAAAGCGCGGCGTCATGCAAATTGAAAAAACCATGTGTATCGATACCATCGCTGATGTGTTAACCGTCCGCCACGATGCGCGATCCTGGTGAGACGCGAGAGAGCGGGGAGATAAATATCCTATGTAACCAAACCGTATGACATTTCTTTCCCTCTGTACCCACGAGTCGAGCCGCACAGCGCGGCGGTGCGATGTTGGATAGTTCCATGGTATCGATTTGTGAATGCACAAAGGTTAAACGTTCCGGTCCAGCGGTTTCAATCGCAATCACATCTGTTTCACCTTACGTAAGACCACGGTGTGCTGGAATATTTTTCAACTTTTTCTCGGAGATGTTCTCCCCTTTTACGATCTGCAATCGCGGAAGACTGGGAAGGGCTCCTCAGCTATCCTCTTTCTCGCTGGGTTGGACGAAGATTAACTTTTTAATAGAGAAAAAATCGATTCCAGAATAAATAATAATATCGTGTTACTTTACATTTTATCTTTAGATAACGTATGCGCAGAGGGTACGTTTCGTCAGAAAGATGCGCTTCACGCAGTCTGCAGATTTTTCGATCACTTGTAACTCGATCTTTACAAAGCTAACGAGATACCATCAAGTTTCTTTTTTCTTACAAACGATCGAAAATGTGAAGTGTTTTTAAAAACTAAATTTTCGATACTGCCGATATAAGATAAGTCTAGTCTACATTTCAAGAGTTTATTACCTATAACGTTATATAAATATTTAGTTTTCAACATACGTCGATAATTTTCAAAATTGTGTGAGAAGGAAAATTGGATTCCATCCAATTCTCGATTCGGTCGAAATTGGTAAGAAAGAAATTCGCCAGATTAAAGAAGGCGCATTTGGCGCAATGCACTTTGCATACTGATGACATCGAGACGTGCAGATCATCCGGGGGAGATCGAATTTTCCAGCGGCGCGAGAAAATTGTTGGGACGCGAACCACGCGGTGTTGGTCTGCGAAAGGTTTTAATCCGCATTGTTCGTACGCAATTAAGCCTGTTTAAAACTGCCGCGTCACCCGTGATTATTAAACAGCCGCGGAACAACGAATGCGGGACAAATGTTAGCCGCATAAAAGGGCCGCGACGGGAGATCGCGCCCCTGCCCTGCTTCCCGTTTCCACACTCCCCCCCCCCTTCCCCGGAACCATGTTGAAGCTAATGGAGTCGTCATTACGGCCGCCACATTCGAGCGAGCGAGCTAATTAGCGCGGACACAAAATTCGTGCAAAATCCGCCGGTCCGTTCGTTAGCAACAGCCATTGCCAATTTAATGCGGGTCACTGGTCTGTGTGTTACAACGAATAATATTAATTAGTGATGCATTCGCGCGTAACGCACCTCGCCCCCGATAGCAGCCGAATTCCGCGACAATCCCGATCGTCCCGAGCGAAGGGAGGTTCGAAGTTCGAACTTTTATTCCACGATCACGATCGAGGCAAGCTGCGGTTGACAAATATCTCACATTTTATATCTATATCTTTTACGATCATTATTTCATAACACTTACTTAATATCGTATATTTTTTCCCCCGCCGCGTTTAAAGTTTCGTGTACGATTTATTCGTACATCGTTGTTTTCTCCCGAGCTTCGACGAGCAATTACCGCGTTCGCTGAATAATTTTCAACTTGTGTACAATACGCACACAGCCTTGTGCAACTGCACAGCGTGTTTTTATCGCGCGCACGAAACGCAAGCCAAATTGCAAGTCATGGCTTTCGCCACCCGATTCATTTTTGCGAGATGAACCGCCGGTAAAGGATTCCGTTGCCAAAATATTCACTTTAGTGCGTTTCCGCGTCCGAGATTATTAATGACATCGTTGTCATTGAGAGAGGGTGCGAAAGAGAGGGAGGCGAGGCAGTTGCGACTTCAGTCCATCTCTCTTCGGCCGATGGACCGATTAATAGCGCGTTAAATTACGGGGAGAATGTCGCGAGGTCCGAATGCATTCTGCGATGCAATCTGCCGGCAGCGCGTCGCTCGAATTCACGTCGACGCGCGGAAGTTCTGCAATTAAAGCGGCGGAATGCCGATCAGAACCGGCGGCGGGGAAATCTTCGAGCGATTGGAGCCGCTTCACGGAGAACTAACGAATTGTTTCGATTTAATTGACGAGGATTGCGAGATTGTCGGCGCAGCATATAATCGCGAGCTAAGTTTGATTGTTTATGTCTTTGACGACTGTCCCGTTTCTCCTCTAGAATAGAGCATATTTCTTCGCCGTTTAAGCCAACATTACAATAAGCTTCTCGGGCATTACTGACTCATTCATCGAAAATTGCTTGGATGTTTCAGTCTATTAATATAGACTGTCGTTAATAATTTATCGACGATTTAATTTCTTTGTGAACTGACAAACGATTTTGTTGAAAGGTCGGTAAAAGTTTTGCTGAATACAGATCTGAAAATTAATTCTTCTTGTTGAATCGTCAAAAAATTTTGCTGGAATGTTAAAAATGATTAGCATTGCTGTAAAACGTTTTGATATTCTAACAATTATGTTGGCTTTCCAACAAAATTATTTTGATTATTGAACAAAAAGATTTCTTCAGATCTGGATCCAGCAAAATTGTTCTTTCCGTGTGTGGAAGACAATTCTGGTATTAGACGTTATCAATATTGTGTTAGATGCGCTTTAAAAATATTTATTTCGAGATATATTGCGTCATCTCATATATAAGTTAGTCCGTATCTAAAGGTTACGAAACGGCACTAGCCGTTATTGCATGGTGAATTACACCGGCTGACGCCTACTCTCGTCGTTTTTGTTTCAGTGCGTATTGTACCTGTGGGCGCTGAAACTGTGCCATCCAACCACACTTTTCCTCCTCAGAGGTAACCACGAGTGCCGTCATCTCACGGAATACTTCACATTTAAGCAGGAATGTAAGTAATCCCATCTCTTCGGGGGGAAGTTAAGTTTTCCTCCCACACATATTCGTAATTACAACTTAAAAAAAAATGTGTACCGCAAATGTGAGCGGTTTTACAACTTATGGAAGCCGCGTTACGGAAGTCTTTTTTCTTATTTTTTAAAATCTAAAAAATTTACAAGCAAGAAACAGAGAAAGAAATCGTTCGTTTCTCTCTCTCTCTCTCTCTCTCTCTCTCTCTTCGATCTTGAAATATTCATTTCCCGCGTCGTTGAATCTTTTACATTGCTCCGCGTGCCGCGCGCGCTTTGTACCCGTGGCCTGCTTTTGTTTCGCCCCGTAATAAGAAATTATTTCCCGTTTAATAATTCGCGACTCGGATTAAGTCCTTCGCCACGTTAGTTACGAGCGGGATAAAGGGGGCGGAGGGGGGGGAGTGTTGTTTCGTAAGGTGAATTAGCGGAGCTCTGCGCTGCGGTGAAATTTATGCGGCTCATCTACATCGCGAGCTTCGGCGCCTGACATACGCGGCGTGTGCCGTAATTAGGATAACAAAACGTAAAGCTTTTGAGAAAGGAATAGTGCCGAATAAAAATTATGAGGCGCATCAGTTTGCACAGGTTTCGAAAATGAACACATTTATGACGAAAGAAACGTCATTTATCGATCTTGTAGCTAAAAATATTTTAATCGCGTTATCTATTAATATACTTAAATAATCTATATTTTTTGTGTATAAATATTAGAATTTAAATCTAAATGACATTTAACTATAAAAGAAAACATATTGTTTTGTAAAGTATTACGTAAACATAATATTGGAAATCTATCTAACCTAATTATGTATTATAACGGAATTTTCAATGAAGCTAATTTACACTGTTAGCCTTTATATTTGTTTTCATGGTTTGGTATCTTTGCTAAACCTGTAAATATACCATCGCGCGACAATATTATTCTAAATAGTTAATTATATTTTACAATTTTATTACAACTTTTATTCGCGTACCTATTTTTTTCTTTTTGTTCCACAATACCGGCAAAGAGTTATTCCGTTTAGATAAATAAAAGTGGGAAATTGCGTTATGAAAATTCCCTGGAACTAATAAAAGATACGTTATGCTTACGCTATGTATAACGACACCAACGTTATAGAAATAAGGCTACAATAACGAGACTTGATCGTAGCGATAACTCGTGTTGCGTGTGCAATATCGACCTTGTGACCCGCGCGTGTCCCCCTCAGTCCTTCGATCACGTGTACCCCGCACGTCGGATAAGTTACGAGATCGTAAACCGCCGGACCATCGCAGCGCCGTTATACTTATTTGCCGAACGGGGCTGCAGCGGGGGAACCATTCGGGGAAACACTCGCGATTCTCGCTCTCTCGCGTTGTTTCGCCTAAGTTCTAGCTTGTATGCAAACCGAGCGAGCTTCGGGATTACATTAATCGCGCGCGAGTTTACGTTACGTTACACCGGGTTCTGCCCACCTGCAGTGCAATGTGCAATACGCCGCACGGACACCGGAAGATCCAGATTTGCGGCGTGTTTAACGTCGGACGCAGCTGCTCGTCTCACGCATTCTACCCTTCGCATCGCGCGTTTGTATAGTGCTCGCGGCTAGTGAGATTCGCGACGCGCGAAAAAATCGAGCGATTGCTCCTCTTCCCCCCCTCCCCCTTGCCTCCCGATGGTCGAAACGCGAATCGGGCGGGCGAATTGGCCGCGTTTAATCCGCGCTTTCCTCATCGCGGCCGGGCGCAGCGACCTGCCCGTCCCCGCGTCATCATCACGCGAGGAAACCGCGTCGTCGTATATTGCCACTCGTTCTCCCGTGCGTCCCGTCGCTCGTATCGTAAATGTTATAACGACGCGAGACCGGGAGGGAAACCGAGACGGTGAGCGGAGGGGGCGCGGGCGCCTCGCAAATACTCGCAGGTTGACCTAGTATCGGACAATTTTCCGCGATCGATACACTTTTCCGCGAGACGACGCCGCCGGCTTCTGCTGCGCGCGAGTGCCCGAGCTATGCGTCGCGAGGGGGATGCGACCACCGACCATCGCCGATGTCTTTCGCGACGACGGATCCCCCCCCCCCTCTCCCCCGGTGGAACGGTATTTTTCGAGGCTCACCGTCCCTAATTCGGAGGTTATATAGTAGTCTGATTAATGAAATGTATCGGACAATTTATTTCAGAAGAGACCGTCAACTTATTTTATTTTTAGAGAACGAGAAATAATATATTATACTTTAACGGCGACGTATTTACGTCCTCTAAGCCATAAATCCGCCTGGTGCTCTAATGACAGCTTGATTGCGAGCGTCGGACATAAATTCGTATAACGCTCTCAACCGGCTCTAAGAACGTTTTATGTGTTATTAAACGTTTTACGCCCCCTCATTGTATCTCGTCGTCGGTCTCTCGCATCCCACCCGTGTAGCCCTTTACATTCCACGCTCACACAGCTCCATTATTATTGCAAACGTAAAAAGCTGACTCGCGAACATTAAGAGGGAACGCCGGACTGATATACATACACACGACACACACACACACACACACACACACACACACACACACACACACACACACACACACACACACACACACACACACCGCGTCAGGTTTTTGCGCACTCTCATGCCCCCCGAGGGGGCAGTGGAGGAGGGGTGGAAGGTCCATTCTCTCGCCCGTGCCCGGCAAGCCTCGTTTTTGAAGAACAGCTGTAATTTCCTCTTACATCCAGAACCGGCGGGATGCCATTTCCGTCTGTGATATTAAGCGAAGTGCGAGTGCCACTCGACGCGATGCTAGGTGCAGGTGTTCACCCGACGAAACAGAAAAAAAAAACCCACGCTCGCGCTCGCGCACGCACCGTGACCCCGATTCCACGCGCGCGTTTAATAACCGCGATAACCGCGAAAATCCCAGCGCGCGTGCACGGTGCCAGCCGGCGCTTTAATCATCGTTTTAACGGAGGCTATTCGCCGTGCATTTATTGGCGGACGTTTGGGTGGCCCCCCGCGGGAGAGGGTTAGCGAGAGAGAGAGAGAGAGAGAGGTGCGTTTTCTTCTTTTTCGCAGTCGCCTATTTACGCGGCCTAGTTACCCGCCGCCGGCGTTATTCACGTGCCGGCCGATCGAGAAAATTGCGATTATCTCCAGCGGCTCGAGCTTTTCCTCGCGATACCGAAGTCGCGATAGCACGCTCGCGCAGAAACGGAAGTGGCGACGATTCTCTCCTTTTTTTTTCTTTAAAACGAAGGCAGCAAGAAATTGTAATTCCAAGAGAAACCCGATAGCTCTCTTTCTCTTTTTTTGGAATATCGAGCACATTTATTTTTCACACATGAACATATAAACCGTGGCGCGGTTGTGGATTACAACAACGTGGAAGACGCTCGTCCCTATCGCGTCTTATCTAAAACGCAGGTATAATATTGTGGAAATTCAGTAGGTCGCGATAACGACATATCGCGCTCGCGCGACCCTTATACCCGCAATTTTTTCCGCCCTCCTCCCCCCCCCCCCTCCACCGACGCGCACGTTTTTCCGACGTTTCGCCGCGCGCACATTTTTCTGCCAATTCGGGTAACAATGACGCGAGAAAAATGTAACGCGCTTAACCGTGACGTATAGAGAAGTTCGATACCGGTTCTATCAAGATAAATGCGCGGTTGCTCCTTGCCACCCGTATATCTCGTATACCCCCAAATATATCATTTTTACCACGCCGTGTCTGGCGTATAATATACGGTGATGCGGCGCTTCGATCCCGTATGGAAATCTTAGAATGAATAGGATCTTGCGAACAAAAAGCTTCCTCCCGCGAACGTTCGGAATCCTATTGTATCTTTAACATTAAAATATATTATTTTTTTATCCTCTTTTTATATTCACACAGTTTATAATCTGGATACGCGGTGTTCGTTTCGCGACTCGTTTTGCAACGCTTATCCGGTTCCGCGTCTTATGCGACGCCGCGCTGGAATAAGTCTAACGATCGCGCGTTTCCCCGAAGGTCGCGTGCCGGAGCTCGAGCCCGAGGAACGCATTATTCCGGGAGCGATTTTGTCGCTCTCGCGCGCGCTTTTCGCGCGAGATGCCGGGACGCGGTGGCCGCGCGCCAAGATCCGCGGGCAGCGTGTCGCTTTCGAAATGGGCCACGCTGCCAAAAGCGATCCGTTTGTCCGCGAACGCGGGAGAACGGCGAGCGCGGCGGGGGCGAACGGGCAATTAATTCGCCGGCGATTTCGCCAGAGTCGTCATTTCGGTCCCGCGATGTGCGGCATACGCATGTGCGGTTCCGCGTAATAGTCACGGGATGTAGAACAAAACGCTGTCCGCGAAGATCAGTTGTCGTTGCGTTATACACTCCTTGCGTAGGAGTTACAAGATGTTATTTTCTTAGTTAGTCAGTAAGAGTTCCGTTCGATAATTTCTGCTTGAACTGTTTATTTTGGATCCCTTTTAATCGTTCTCAATCGATCGCAAATCGAATTTCTATATTATTTACATTTAATCTAGCTTTCCTCAATTATCTGTCGACTTAATTATGAATATTCGACGAGTTTTTTTTTTTTTTTTAGTCTCAATGGTATCTTTATTTATCTTTCTCTCTCTCTCGTTTAATAATCTCGAGACATAAGAGCCTCACTTCAGGTTCGTCCTTGGCGCGATATTACGGACATCCGTTTCGCAATACTTCAATCTGCAACCCCAAAGAGGCACCCACGTCCACCATCCGGTCGTTCATTTGCGAGATCTCGTGAAGGTCCTCGAGTGGCAGCCTCGAGCGACGATCCGTTTAGCTTCAGGCGCCGACAAATCTTTATCCTGTCGAGATTACTCCGCTTTATTGGTAGGAAATCCTTTTCGCGCGTCACCTCGAACAGCGATTCGACGATCCTCCCCGTCTGTGTGTAGTAAATACAGGTTGCCTCACGTCAACCTTTCCGTAGGTCACATTTTAACGGGAAACGTGTCAGAAACAGAGAGAGCGATGGCTCTTTGAGGAGAGAGCTCTCCTCACGAAATCCTTCTGAGAGTTAAAGTTTTACAATTTTCATGTGAAACAGCGTCATACGAGTTAGTTATAAAAGTAATCAGAACTTGGAATCGAGGAAAAAAAAGGAGGAAAGGGAAGAAACGCGCGGGTTTTGGAACTCGCGCCGTTTGGAACCGGTATAGTTCGTTTTTGTTCCATGCTGCAGATAAATGAGACAACAATTATCCGCTCCGACTTATCTTACCGGGCAGTGCGGTTTATCGCTCGCGCGAACCAGGCCGGTCTGTCGGTTGCACTCGTAGCCGCGGCGAGAGAGGAGAGATAGATAGAGAGAGAGAGAGAGAGAGCTGCGAGGTGAGACGCGCGGCGAAATTCAGGAACACAGAACAGGCGTGGATGACCGGAGAGGCGTCGCGTCGGTGGGAATCGTCTCCGTATTCTGGAGAGTATTCATTATTCCGCGAGGACTGCGGGAGAGCGCGCGACGTAAAATAGAGCCCCCGCGTGTCCCGCCATCCTTTTTACGGCTCGTTCGCGAAATGGTCCACGGTCCGACACTATGCGTGCTTCACCTCGCATGTCAAGGGTCCCTTTCCTCATGACTCCCTCGCGTCGCCTTTATTTTCTCCTCCGTCCCGGACGTTTTCGTTCCAACCGCGGGGCGGATTAGACCGTTGTCCGTATAACCTTCCCTCGTGCTCTCTCTCTCTCTCCCTCCTCTCTCTCTCTCTCTCTCCCTCTCTCTCTTGTGAAGGAGCATAAAGTGGCCGAAAGCGATCCCGCATGCCCCGACACATTCGTACGATTGTCGTAAACGCCGTAAACGCTGATAGGAACGAAATCCTCGTCGTCGGTCCGACGAAGTGCTAATCCGTTGTTTTAATCTTGGGATCTCCCTCCTTTTTCTGCTTTCAGGTAAAATAAAATATTCCGAGAGGGTGTACGACGCGTGCATGGATGCCTTCGACTGTTTGCCGCTCGCCGCCCTCATGAACCAACAGTTCCTCTGCGTACACGGCGGCCTGTCGCCGGAAATTCACAATTTAGAAGACATTCGCAAAGTAAGTACCTACATTCTTCTGCTCTACTTTGGTTGCGTGCTTGTGCCACGATCGCCTCGAATAACACCGTATTAAAATGTAAATGAATCTGTGTGACGCCGCAAACTTTGTTGGTATATAAAATTAACATTTGACATAAGGAATAAGCGGCTTTTTGGATAAAAGCGACTGATCCTTGCGAAGCTTCTCGTCGATATTTATTTTTCGTGCAGGATACCTCCAGTATCTGTTCGATTGGAATCTTTTCCCGCGGTAATTTTCCCGGGGAAAACCTCGGGAAAAGAGTGTCGTTTGACAATGTTCAATTTAAACTTGTCGAAATCGCATTTTTCGCATTATTCGACTCTTCGCGAACTTTCGCCGGGGAGAGAGAGAGAGGGAGAGATCAAGTCGCGAGAAGCCAATCTAGGACGCTCGGCGTCGCATCTTAATAAGGCGCTGATCGCTGATAATTGCGTTATCCCCCTCGCGCCCCCTCGCCCCCGTCACTCCCACCCCTCCGCGTGAATTAGCCTTGAATATTATTTCTCGCAATCGTGCCGAGGCCAATCGTTCGATCGGCGGAGAGAGAGTCCAATGACACTCCGCCGCGCGCCGGAAGCGAACCAGGGAGAGCACCGACGTGCTGCCACCTGCTCTATCGATCCGTCCACCTACGCCTTTTACCTTCCTGCATTGCGTGCGGCACACACGGGCCGTGCGTGCGGCGGTAACACGCGTTCCCGATCGCGCGCGACCATCTCTCTCTCTCTCTCTCTCTCGTAGCCAGCCTTGTCTACTCTTTTCAGCGGCGATCGTGTTTGTCTGCGTCTCTCGAATCAGCTGGATAAAATAAGGATCTTATTACGGAATGGGAGCGCGTTGAACATATAGCCGGGGTACGAATCGCGCGATCGCGTCTGGGACGCGTTTCGATACTTTCGACGCGCGAAGGACGGTTCCAATTATTCTCCATCACGCTTTCGGAGACGCTCCCTTGTTTTCGTTGCAACTGTTCTTTATTGTTATAATTACATATAACTCATATTGTACCGGGTACACCGCAGTAAACGCGACTTTCATCGCGCCGACAGGATCGATCATCGACAGCGAATTGTCGATGATGCCTTCGCCACCTAACCGGCACTGCCGGCACTATTTTATTCCCGAGCATCAATACATCGGTGCTTAATTGTCGGCTGCGTTGGAACATCCGATAGATAGATTCCTATTCATCGCGTCCAGGCGATGTTCTGTTTACTCGGGGAAAATTGTTGCCAAGGGGAAATAATTTTATCGGCTCGACTGCCTATCATCGTGCAGCGACATTCAAAGCGGCGACAAACAGAAAATATAGATTCGCCTCTTTTGGAATTTCTCGAATCCCTCGGTATCTCGTGTCGTGCGCACACCGCGAGCCCGGGGACTTATCCGACTTAACGCGCGTTTCCGATCGTAACGTCCGTTCGTAACGGGAGAGTTCTTTCTCTCTCTCTCTCTCTCTCTCTCTCGCGTCTTTTCTACGTATTCTCGCGTATCGTGTTTCACGTTGGCAATCGAAATTTCCGAGTGACACCTCGTATTTCCCGGCTATCGACATATCCCCCTGGCTTCGCGCGTCCGACACGCCGCGCCGCGCCGCGCCGCACCGGGAGAGACGACGGAAAGCGATGGAGCAGTTTCGTGTTTCTCCGCGCTCGTAAAAATTCGCGCTATTTTCATATTATCGAAGCCCCGTGCAGTAGATCCCGCCCGTTTCGCCGGGCGCGGCATTCCGGCGAGTTTTCTCGTAAGCGCTGCAGCTGCCTGAGATCTCATCTCTCGTTTCGGGACGTCCCGCTTTTATGCTCGCGATACCATCCTCGTAAAAGATACACGGCGTTCGAGAAACAGCGGTCGAACTCGAATGAAAGAGAGAGAGGGAGAGAGAGAGAGAGAGAAACTAGATGGAAAATCCGGAATGAAAGAACTGCGGCGATCTCGTTTAACGATCGACCGATTTTCGCAATGCTCGGCGTCTCCAAAGCTTAATTAAGGGAAACGACGTGCTGCTACAGTAATGCGGCGCTCGGTAAAGCGACGTAGATTAATTTCTCCGACTCCACTACGGGCAATTTGAAACGTGACATGTACGGAATATAAAAAAATTCTCCGCGGGAAACGCGCTTGATTCGCGCCGCTCGAGAGAACTGCGGGCGAAATATATATAATGAGGAATATCGCGCGGACGTAAACCGATTGCGAGACTGCGTGGTGGAAAGGGTTGGGTTTTCCCCGCAGTTTAATCAAGGATAATCCAGTTCCTTCCAGCTTCAAAATGGATCATGCAATTATTATCGTTCAACTGTTTAACGTTTAACGTGATCGAGTGAACGCGCGTCTCGGAAAGACGGTAATAAATATCGTCCGCGCGCGCCGAGCGAAGTTTCCCCGAGAATTTATCATCGTGATACAAGTTCCAATCGCGGTCTCATGATATCCCCGCGCGTCACCGGGGCAGAATTTCGAGCGCGCGTGTTTTATTTCCGAGCGGTTTTATCGCCGGCGTTTCAGGACGTTTGATATGGAAATCGACAGTCCCCGGTCGGGCGATATCGCGAAGTCCTTTGAGAGCAAGCGCCCGTAAAACGTGACCGTACGCGCCCTGCACCTTGGAAATGCTCCTCGAGCGACGCTTTAACCTCCTTTCCGCTTCTTGCTTATCCGGATAATCGTTCTGAATCTTTGATCTCCGTGACTCTCGCACGCACCGAGACGTCTCTCTCCGCGATCGAGCGAGGGGAGAGAAGGGCTCCGTGCCTCGAGGAACTCGATCGCGTCGCGATGTATGCGTGGGGATATTAAGATGTTCGTCCGTTAACCTTCCCGCCGAGAACAGTAAATAAATCATTTTATTTTTAGACCAGCACGCATCTAGTTTCGAAGACGTTAAATCAGCGACGGTATGTTTGCGTAAACGTCGCGAATTGTTAAAATCTTACAAGATCACAGAACACATCGTCTCTCTCTCTCTCTCTCT